ATTCTTCAGGACCAGGGCTTATTCCAGAGCGATATATATGATCTTGTTTGCTGGAAGGAGATTCTTCTTCTGCATGGTTTACCCCTCCATTTTTGGCCCTTCACACAGCAAAACAATGGTTTTTCACTGTGCTACCTCAAAAATAGCAATAGACGTTTTTGGAGGCATTCATTTGTGTGAATTTGGTGCCCTTTGTGACGAATATTTTACTATTTTACTTTTTCACAGGTGCAGATCGAGGTGCAGATAGCCTGCCAAATAAGGTATTTTGATGCTAATTTCGACATTTTCTTTTTCTTGAAACGATCATCCACTTGAAACTTATCTTTTCCGGTGTAAAACTCCGGTCCTGGTATTTGTTGGCATTTAGTTTTGACGTATGTTTCATCATCCATCACACAGCAACACTGTATCTGGTCAACATTTTCGTGTAGAGCTTCGTTGCGCGGGTTTTGGCAACAGTTTGCTGGCGTTCATTGGCGAATTGGGAAGTTTTGATCCTTGAATGCATGTAATCCAGCTCTTACCTTGACCACCCTCGCCTTCACTTTTCCCTCCGTCTTCCTACATGCTGCTCCTGGTGTCCTTCCTTCTCCGTGTTTGTGATCCAATGTCAACCGGTCCTTGAACCTGTTTATAAGTCTTAACCAGGGTCATTACGGTTGAATTATTGATATGAAATATTTTTTCCTTAAGCACGATGGGACAGATCCGGATTTTCCCGAGTTCCATGCAAGCGTACAAAATGTTTTCACGCGTCTTCACTTGACTCACTTCCATCTTAACCTCGATCTTAACGGCATCGAAACATACAATAACGAAATTTACAGGATGTTCACTTCAAAGATAAACTATGCAAAGTTTGGTTAATTTCCACCAAGCAGGAATAAAGATACAGCCAGTTGTGTTGCGATAATTTCATGTTCGCCCTTTGTAAGAATCTTCAATGCAGAATTTTCTAGATTAAGCTTTCAGAAAGAAGTTTCCAGAACGTAGCCTTCATAAGAAGCTTCTAGAATAACCTTGTAGAAGGAAGAAGTTTCCGAAAAGAAGCTCTCTTCTTTAAACCGGTAGTACCATAGAGGTAACTCTAAGACCACTGGGTCCCGAAGAAAATCATTATTATTTTTGGCTCACTCAGTACCAGAACAACGGTCCCAAGCAGTCCCAAGCTATTTCACTCACCCCTGCATGTTCTGCATGAATCCACACACCCCTGATGTTATCTGTCAAACTTTCATAGCGAATCAAAACAAACATAGTGTAGTAATAGAATTTCAACTAGAATAGGGTACGTTAATCGTTTGCTTGGGACCAATAGGCTACTAAAGTGGTGAGCCAATTTAAAATCGTTAGTTTCGTATTGATTGTTGGTAGTACTTTTCCACCAGATCTCGGATATTTCGCATAGTCTCGGAATACAGGATCCCATCCCAGAATCATGATTTGGCACTGTATTTCGGCTTTTTTGGCTATATACTGCTGAGGACCGGGAGCTATACCAGTGTTTGCAAGTTCTGATGAGGCTCTGGCACTTTGCTGGAAAGATTCTTTAACATCTAGCGAAAATTTGTTCCAGCACTACCTGGAAGAGTCTTCTATTTTCTCCCAGAATATTCTTCGGAATGTTTGCTTATCAGACTAAGTTTTCCTGGAAGTTTCTACCAATTTTCTCTGAAAGCTTCTCCATACTTTCTTTTGAAGATTTTTATCTGCTTTTCTCCAGAAGTTTCAACTGGCTTCGCCTGTAAATGTATTTCGACTTCTCCTGGAGATTTCCTCAAACTTCCCCTAGAACTAATTGTGGCATCCCTTCGAGTTAATCATACTGTCGAACAGTTTTGTTTTCAAGAAAATTAAGCAATACATTCCAGATTTTTCCAGCTTAGCATAAATAAGACCCTATTTTCTCGAAGTTTAAAACGGCCAATGAGATCAACTCAAATTATAGTTCAGTTTACTCATAATCGCAAAAAGTGCAGGAACTCAGTGATGAGTAAATTTGCCTCATGTTTTCCAAAACTTTACTCAGTCTAGGAGTATGTAGTACCAATAGACTGAGAGAACCCAATCTTTACTTGTCTTATATTCGTGATTTTTTCCTGGAAAAACATGACGCGAATTTTCTCATCGCTGAGTTTCTGCACTTTTTGCGATTTATGAGTAAACTGAACTCAAACTCGGGCTGATCTCATTGGCCGTGTAGAAGATTTTTTTTTCGCAAAATATTTTTCCACAGCAAATTTCGAATGATAATCATGAAGGTAATTTTAAGTTAGAATGAACGTCCCGCAGGCGAACCAGCCTCAGGCTGAAAGCCTCCCTAATAAAGAAAACTTAACTTAGAATGAACGTCGTTCTAGCAAAGATCAATACGAAACTAACGATTTTAAATTGGCTCACTACTTGACTAGTCTATTGGTCCCAAGCAAATCGACTAACGTACCCCATTCTAGTATAAATTCCAGTACTACACTATGTTTGTTTTGATTCGCTATGAAAGTTTGACAGATAAAATTAGGGGTTAGTGGATTTTCCTATGTTTCGAGGGGTGAAACGATTAGCTTGGGACCGAAGATAGTACCAGAGCTGAGCCAAAAAGTTGAGCTCGTTTCTTCGGGACCTTCTGGTCTTAGAGTTTCCTCTATGGTTTTAGGCTGTGTTCCATTTGGTAAATTTGCACTTGAAGTTGAAGCTTCGGAAATAAATTATAATCACAGACAAACAAACATAACGCTCACAATAACATTCTGGGAATGTGTTCGCATTTGTCATGGTGGCACAACTGAAGCTTTAAGCAAGCCACTACATTTCGAGCTTAGCAGTGATGCCAGTTCTTTTTCAGGTCGATTTAGTAGATAACAGCTCGTGAGAATGATAAGGGGACCAAGACATATACAGTAATGACCCGATTTTGCCAGTCCTCTTTTTGAAAATCTCTTCTAATGCTCTAGGAATCCCATGCGATTTTTAGTGGTTTTATTGCACCTTAAACGCCCATCTTGAAGATGCATGAGAATAATTTGGAATAATGATTAAATCCCTAAAAAAGACGAAGCTTCTGTAGATTTCTCCTACGGATCCATATTTCTGCAAAATTCAATCAATTATATAGATCTATTGAAAATTTCGTAAGACTGACAGCTGACGCGTTGACAGCCCGAGGGAAAAGCAACTAGTGAAAATATTGCATGAACAAGGGATGCTCCGGTTGTAGAACAATGCTTGGGAATATGCATGATAGAGGGTGCTAGCACAGACAAACAGACATAACACTCGCAAATTGTTCATCGAACAAGCATTTAACGGACAATTTAAAAGTTTCGTAGTTGGTAGTACCGCCACCTGTGGCGCGCATAGTCAATTCCCTTGTGTTTGACGTTTACACACTACCGCCATCTGTTCAGCGTACTACCCACCACAGTGTACTCAACAGATGGCGGTAATGTTTAATGTTAATACGCTTGACGATATTTCTGAAGAATTAACTTCTAAGAGTTATGTCTGTTTGTCTGTGTTATAATGTTAGAAAATCCCTCTGTTGTTGATCGGTCGATTTTCGAAAAGGTGTATTTCAAAATTGATTCCCTGTCTGTCAGAAATAAGTCTGCTGGAATAGAGCTTTTTGACGTTTAATCGGCACAGACTACTGCACCATTTAAAGTGCACGAGTGCGAGCAAGAGGGAAATAGATTAGTGGGAAAACAAACCGTCCATTCATCCATGTGTGCTAGATAGAGAAAGATGATTAAACGTCAAAAAGGTCTATAGCAGGTTTAATTGAAAATTTCCCATCTGTCAAAATTAAGTGAAAATTCACCAAATGCAACACAGCCTTAAGCTGCTGGAGGCTGTGTTTCATTTCGTAAATTTTCACTTAAATTTCACAATTCGAAAGTAAATTATAATGTTCTAAAATCCCTCTGTTGTTGATCGTTCGATTTTGCAGAAGGTGTTTGTCAAAATTGATTCCTGGTCTGTCAGAAATAAGTCTGGTACCCCAGGTTTATTTGAAAATTTTACATCTGTCAAATTTAAGTGACAATGCACCAAATGGAGCACAACCTGAATGATATGATCCATTGTTTTTTTTTTGGCTTCCGTCAGAAGATTCTTGCGAGTTCCATTTGGAAAATTCTTCCAATTTCTCTTAGAAGTCCTACCAATTTTTCCAGGAAGTATCTTCCAACTTCTCCAGCAAATGTCTTCCAACTTCTCCCGGAAAATTCTCATTACTAATCACCTGAATTCCCTCGGAGGTTTTTTTTCGAACTTCACCCGGAAGACTCAAAAAAAAATCTTCTGGCTTTCCTCAGAAATTTCCACGGACTTCTCCTGAAAGTTTCTTCTATCATCCCCCGAAGATTCCTCTGACCATGGTGGTACAGCTTTGTCTCTATTTGGGCCAGGAGATCGCGGGGGGGGGGGGGGTGGATGCAGTTTTAGAGCAAGTGTAAAAAACTCGAACGCTGTCCCATACAAAAATCCAACATGGCTGATTCATGAATTTGACACATTAGAACACCTATATGTAGTCACCTTGCCTCTGACTTTCTCGGAAAATTTCCCAAATGAGTTGCAAAATTTATCGGGTCTGAAAGGTCTTCGTTTTCTGAGCACAACGATATTTTTTTCGAACCCATAGACTTTTATCTTGATTTATAAATCAAGATTTAACGCAAAATAATAACTTCACTGTTTGACACTAAACTAACAAATTGACAGCTTGCTCCCATACAAGGTCCCACTGAGGGGTGCTAAGATGGTGGTTTTTACTAATGCAATCGCTCTTATTTAAAATTGTTCCGGTGTACCAAAATTGATGAAATTTTGGATTTCGGTTCCATTTTGAATTCAGCTGGCGAATATGCATTCACCTCAATATCCTTAAAGAACCCAATTCGCTAGAAATTTCTTCTGACTTCATATGGATTATCCCGGGTTTTTTTCTGAATGATTGACCCAGCTAACATCAACTCTCGCTTATTTTTTTTTCCCAGCTCAAAGCCGTCTTGCTGAACACAAAGCTAGAGAATGTAGCCCACGCCGAGGTGAAATTCGACTCGGACCTGCCGGAGTTCCGTACCAGTGGCGGAGTAAACGCTGGAACTGCCAAAAACGAGTAAGTTTCCTCAAGGACTGCCTGAGTGCGGACTTCCACTAAACTAACAATCCGACCTTTTCAGATTCTTCGTCCAACCGGTGATGTGGGTCAAGGCCCTGGACATGGTGCTGGATCGGCTGGTTGTCCAGGGAGGCGACTTGAGCACAGTGATGGCCGTCAGTGGATCTGCCCAGCAGCACGGATCGCTCTATTGGTCCCGCAATGGAGTACATACGTTGCAGAACCTAGACGCAGACAAGTTTCTGCACACCCAGATCGACGATTCGGCCTTTACCGTGCACCGGACGCCGATCTGGATGGACAACACCACCGGGAAGCAGTGCGAGGAGATGGAAGAAGCCGTCGGTGGTCGGGAAAAGATGGTACAGATCACCGGGTCCAAGTGCTATGAACGCTTCACCGGGCCCCAGATTAGGAAGGTCTACGAAAAGCGACCGGATTGCTACAGAAATACGGAGAGGATTTCCCTGGTCAGTAGCTTCCTGGCATCGATTTTCCTGGGCGATGTGGCACCGATCGATCTGGCCGATGGATCCGGAATGAATCTGCTGGACATTCGGAAACGAACCTGGTCCGATGTTTGCCTGACGGCTTGTGCTCCTAACTTGGAAGCGAAATTGGCAAGTCCAGTGCCGACCAGCTCGGTCATCGGAACGATCGGACAATTTTTTGTCCAGAGATACAATTTCAATACCGCTTGCAAGGTGGTCGCATTTACCGGCGATAATCTATCCGCCTTGGCTGGGATGGTGATCGGCGAAGACTGGCTAGCGCTATCGCTGGGAACCAGCGATACCATCATGATGAATCTGAACGAGCCTTCAAATCTGACCGAAGGTCACGTGCTAGTGCATCCAACCGACGGTGGATTTATGGGCTTGCTGTGCTTCCGCAACGGTTCCCTAGTCCGGGATATCTTCAAACGTGCTGAAGCGAATGACAACTGGGAAAATTTTAGCGAACTGCTTGACTCGATGCCACGCGGGAATTTCGGCAACATCGCTCTGCACTTCATCAGTCAGGAGATTCTACCGTCAGTCAAAGGCTCGCTCCGTTGGAACAAATCATCCACCTTGGACGAACCGGAGCTGGCCAAGGGGGTGCTGAAGTTCAGTTCACCGCAAGCCGAAATTCGTGCCCTGGTCGAAGGGCAGATGCTATCCAGAAAGGCATTTGCATCCGAAATGGGCTTCAGTTTCGGAGAGAACACCCGTATCCTGGCCACGGGTGGAGCTTCCGCTAACAAATCAATCCTCCAGGTCGTTTCCGATGTGTTCAACGCCCCGGTGTACACTCAGCAGACCACGGAAGCCGCCCTGGTAGGAGCTGCCTATCGGGCCAAATATGTCCTGGAGGCGTCCCGCGCCAAAGACGTCGGCAAAGGACTAGAATCGTACTTCAGATATATAAGGGATCTTCTGCCGGAACATAGCGTCAGCAGGATTTGTGATCCCGCTCAGGACAGTAGTGACATCTACGATCGGACGTTGGAGCGCTACCATCAAATGGTCAAGTACATGATGGATCATCAAGATTAACAAGCCAGAGGGAGAGAGATTAGACGACATTCCACGAAAAAAACATTCCAGCTTTTGTAATACCAATTCGAATACGGGCTTTCTTTCCTTCACAACGAACAAGACTTACGAGCTTGGCGCAATACGCTAATAGTAGTAGTAGTTTATTACTTTGTTATAGATATTACGTTGGATTTTTATATGTATAGAACGATAATAAAATGTTACATTTTGCTACTGCAGGGCTGCCACCCTTTTCCGAGGAAACAAAATGCCACGATGTCAGTTGTAATTTGAAGCATTATTCTGTCCTTACCTGAGCGAGGTGAAGAATGAGGGTGATTACTTTTTGCGGCCTCCACGTTCCTTCAGCTGCAGATGGACCGTGGCACCGCTCAGCAGATTGTAGTACGCAACGGTGTTGCTGTCCTTGAAGAACATGCCCTGGAATAGAAAGAATGATGTTTGTTAGTAAATTGATGGAAAAAGTACTGGAGATATTTCTTAGAGTGTGGTAACTCGGTTCGGTTTGCCGGTATTGGCCTAAAAAAAATAAACAAATTTTAGATTTTACATCTCAAAATGTCATGAAACTTTACGTAGTTGCTCGCTAGGGGCAACGGACCAAGTTTGTGCTGGAATTCGGCCATTTTGATTCCCATCTTAGGGTCCATCTTAACCCATTAACCCTAATAAAAATACCATAAACGAACGATAGCCCTTTTTGATGTTTAATCGTCTTTCTCTGTCTAGCACATGGAGATTAATGGATGGTTTGTTTCCCCACTAATCTAATTCCCTCTTGGTCTCACTTCTTTTTTCTTCTTGATTTGTTGTCCGTTGATCTTGTTTTCCGTGCACCAATGCTAACGACGCCAGGAAGGCAGCTCTCCCACACCTAGACCCTACCTATCGACCCAGCAACTCATGAACCGGGGACCAACGGCTTTACTTCCCTTCCGAAGGAAGACGTGATCAGAGATGTTATGTCTCAGAACATCCCGGCGGCGCCGACTGGGATTGAACCCAGGCCTGCTGGGGTGAGAGGTAATCACGCTTACCACTACACCACCGGCGCCGCTAGTCTCACTCCTTCAATTGAAATGGTGCACGCTATTTCAAAACTACCCAATTTTGTGTAGAATTAATTATATGATTTGAGTAGTAGCTATACTGAAGATCCGAGAGATGTCGCTCCTTCAATGGTAGGAAAATCATTTTTGCAGTATAGACGAGTGCACGGGTGAACTTTTGTTCATCTACTGAAAAAAATTTGACACAACAGCGGGGCCCTGTTTACTAAAAATGAACACATGAATAATGCTCACGCAACATTTGAAAAGGGCATATCAACTTTTGTAAATAATTTGCTAGATCCTTTCCACGAGAACCGAAGTGCGTCCACGCAAACCAAGAGCACTATCGGAAAGGGGGGAATTTCCCCTACCCGATGGTGATGTTAGTTTGCGTAGGCGTATTCGGTTCGCGCAAAAAAGGCTTAACAAGTTTTGTGTACGAAAGTTGATAGGCCGGTTTCAAATGTTACGTGAGTATTATTCATGTGTTCATTTTTAGTAAACAGGGCCCCGCTGTTGTGTCACTTTTTGTCGAGTGAGTGAACTCAAATCCATCCGTGCACTCGTCTATGGAGAATATCAGAAAATCCACGATTTGTGACTAAACATTCTTTCACAAAAGGAAACAAATAAACGAGTGTTTACCTTTTCACCATAGTAATGTACTCGTGCAATTTTTGTGCATCTAAACTGCCCATAAAGACGATAATGAATAAAAACTGAAAATTTCCATGCATTTCCAAATGGTTTCCTACACGGTAAGAAAAAAGTACCCAACGGCCAGTTCACTTTTACCTACTTTTGACTAGTTTGTCTCATTTTCTCCTTCTAATGTTGTCAAAAAAGAAGGAGCAAAACCACCCAACAGGGGTAGTAAAGTGTGGGAACCCAACGTTGGGTATAATCATATTTACCTACTGTTGGGTACAACTAACTTACTTTTGGTTAAAAAGCTAGTGGAAAATTCCATACGAACTGCACACAAGTAAATCAAAATTACTTTGACCCGCTTTACCTACTTTTGGGTTCCTGCACTATAGTGCCGAGATGAGTGAAAAGAACTTAATTTTGGGTACTTTTTTCTAACCGTGTACCATTCCCATACATTCGAAGTGACTGGCCCTCTGAATGTGGATGATGTCAAAAACAACAAAACATGATTAATTAACCCAGATCGCTCAAAACTGAACCTACCTAATAATGGGTAAACCACGTAAACTATGTTGGGAGTGACAAGTTGACAAATGAACAAAGTCGATCGGATTCATGTCGATGTTGTCCATCTTTCAACTCGTCACTCCCAACATAGTTTACCCAGTTTTGGGTAGGTTCAGTTTTGACCAATCTGGGTGGATTCTACCCAAATTTGGGTAGTTTTGAAATAGCTTGTATAGCGTATTGAGATTTTCACGTCCGGTTGTATGGGTGCGATATTTGAGAGCGTGTTAGTGAAAATCCAAGGAAAATACATAACAAATCGCTGTCAAACTTATTTTGACAGATCAAATTTCATAGATTTTCTAGGTTAATCAGAGTAAAATAATAAACAACTTTACACGGCGATGCTCCCGCTACACTAATAGAATTCCGCACATTTTTATTGACGAATTTCCATGTAAAATTCCACATGATTTTCATTTGACCACACATAAACAGAATCCACCCAGAAGCACACATGAAATTTATGAGTCAAATGAATAGTATGTGTGGTTACACATGGCTTTTATGTGTGCACATATTAAGTATGTGTCCGACACATAGATATCATTTCAGTGCCAACATTTCAAAGGGGCGTAATTGCTTTTGTAAACAATGGCTTTAGTCGTCGATTTCTCGTAACTAAAAGCTCGCCCCACCAAATTAACAATGCTATCTGGTAGAAGAAACATTCCTCTACCAGTTGGTGTCATTATTTTTCATGAGTGAGCTTTTATTCGCGAGAAATCAACGGGTAAAGCCATTGTTTACAAATGCAATTACGTCGCTTTGAAATGTTGGCACTGATTTGTTGATCACATTGCAAAAATTCATGTGTGGGACACATAAAAACAATCTTTGAAATTTTATCAGTGTAGTGTGCGTGCGTTATTCGGACAGACTATGGCTTATATCATGTAATATAGGCTGGCTTGCAATGAGCACTCATATATAGGATTTCCAGTGAAAACTAGATGTATGAGTGCTCATTGCAAGCCAGCCTATATTACATGATATAAGCCATAGTCTGTCCGGGGTATAAGCAACAACGATTTTAAATCGGCTCACTACTTGACTAGCCTATTGGTCCCAAGCAAACGATTAACGTACCCCATTCTAGTCGAAATTCTAGTACTACGCAATGTTTGTTTTGATTCGCTATGAAAGTTTGACAGATGAAATGAGGGGTTAGTGGATTTTCCTATGTTTCGAGGGGTGAATCGATTAGCTTGGGACCGAAGAGAGTACCAGAGCTGAGCCAAAAAGTTGAGCAAGTTATTTCGGGACTTTCTGGTCTTATACCCCGTTCACATTACAACGTATATCACGTGATATACGCTGTCTTGCAATGAGCACTCATACAACTAGTTTTCACTGGAAATCCTTTGTATAAGTGTTCATTGCAAGACAGCCTATATTACGTGATATAGGCTGTAATGTGAACGGGGTATTAGAGTTACCTCTATGGTTATAACATTGATTGTTGTTATAACTCTGTAGTCTGAACGTTTTATAAGACTAGTAGGTCCCGAAGAAACGGGCTCAACTTTTTGGCTCAGCTCTGGTACTCTCTTCGGTCCCAAGCTAATCGATTCACCCCTCGAAACATAGAAAAATCCACTAACCCCTCATTTTATCTGTCAAACTTTCATAGCGAATCATAACAAACATTGTGTAGTACTAGAATTTTGACTGGAATGGGGTACGTTAATCGATTTGCTTGGGACCAATAGGCTAGTCAAGTAGTGAGCCAATTTTAAATCGTTAGTTTCCACCGGTTGTTATAACCACAAACGAAGTGACAGACGACTAACTGGCGAAGAAATCCATTTAAATAATGTGGTTCACTGTAACAGAATTTTATTGGAAGCTTGTGCCATCATCCACCAGATGGGTTAGTTTTTTTGTTTTGATTTGAACAAAGTTGATTTTGTGTACAATGATTCCTTGACAGTGTGCAAAGAGTGCGTATCATTTTATCATTTTTTAATGCATTTCAGTTTTGAGTAGAGTGAAAGAGATAGAACCAAAACATTCTAGTACATTTGGTGAAAATGCTAGTTCAATCTAGTAGTAGTGTTGCCATGTGGTACAATCCAGTAGTAGTAGTGTTGCCATGTGGTACACTGAAAAATTGCAATAGCAGGTTAGTCACCAAAGTTTTCGAGCCGCTCCGTCTGTCACTTCGTTTGTGGTTATAACTCTGTAGTCTGAACGTACTATTACCATAGAGGTAACTCTAAGACCACTGAGTCCCGAAGAAAATCATTATTATTTTTGGCTCACTCAGTACCAGAACAACGGTCCCAAGCAGTCCCAAGCTATTTCACTCACCCCTGCATGTTCTGCATGAATCCACACACCCCTGATGTTATCTGTCAAACTTTCATAGCGAATCAAAACAAACATAGTGTAGTAATAGAATTTCAACTAGAATAGGGTACGTTAATCGTTTGCTTGGGACCAATAGGCTACTAAAGTGGTGAGCCAATTTAAAATCGTTAGTTTCGTATTGATTGTTGCTATTACCAACAATCAATACGAAACTAACGATTTTAAATTGGCTCACCACTTTAGTAGCCTATTGGTCCCAAGCAAACGATTAACGTACCCTATTCTAGTTGAAATTCTATTATACTACACTATGTTTGTTTTGATTCGCTATGAAAGTTTGACAGATAACATCAGGGGTGTGTGGATTCATGCAGAACATGCAGGGGTGAGTGAAATAGCTTGGGACTGCTTGGGACCGTTGTTCTGGTACTGAGTGAGCCAAAAATAATAATGATTTTCTTCGGGACCCAGTGGTCTTAGAGTTACCTCTATGCTATTACCAACCGAAGAGAGTACCAGAGCTGAGCCAAAAAGTTGAGCACGTTTCTTCGGCACCTTCTAGTCTTAGAGTTACCCTAATAAAAAATAACCATAAACGAACGATAACCCAAATCATTGAATTATTCCACAAATGGTTTGGATGATACCCAGAACACGTCGTTAAGCAAATTAACCATACAATTTTTATTAGGGTACCTCTATGCTATTACTCTGATCGGGCTTTTCCGCTGCCGCTGCCATTCCGTCTGTCATTGCGCTTGGGCCTTAAGAATTCCATAAGAACCACTTATGAATTTAGCCACAAGAAATTGGTATGAATTTCATTGATTTGCCTGT